TGTTAGCAATTCATCGTATTTGAAATTTGAATTGATGTGAAATGGAAAACTAAAATTTACAGAATTCCTTTTGTGAAGAAAACCTAGATTGGGATTAACAAAAATAAGAAACATTCACAAGGGTGGATTTTTTTAAAAAAAAGTTAACCAACTACCACAAGGCGCGGATATTTAAGAAATGCTTGTAAGGTCCCTTCACAAGGCGTGGATTCTGTAAAAAATGTTTTCAAAGATCCTTTCACAAGGCGTGGATTCTGTAAAAAATGTTAAGGACCCTTCACAAGGCGTGGATTTTTATACCCTTCATCACACTGTGGTACAGGGTATTATGTCTTTGTGCACATGGTTCCTTTTGAGAATATGCATAGAATCACTTTCTAAGTCCATTTATGCATAACCGTCCGTCAGTATATGTATTTTTGTGAACAAAGTACAGGTCGGATTTATGATCCGATTTGAATGAAATTTGGCATAGGTCACTTATTTGGTCCGTGTTTTGGGTTTGGTTCTAAAACTCTGTTGTAATCATTTCATCTGCGGAGGATATCGAGATAAAAAACTAGAACGTAAGGTTCGATAATGAACTATATATGACGCATTTAGGCCTAGCCCTTATATAATGATACCTACCGATTTAAGTATTTATTAATATTTGGCGTAAAAAAAATTATTCTGATTCAGAAGTTTTAGTTTCGAAATAGAGCTATATCAGTCATCAATTAGGCAAAGTACCTCATATAATAATAACCACAAATGTTCGGTAATTCCTGTACGATGTAATCAACATTGGCCCCGCTTAAGGTATAGCCTCCAGGGACGTTCTCATACAAATGTTTTTGTGCAACCCACAACAATGCACCCCCATTTTGTGGGGGAGGTACCTGAAGGCGTGGACCGATATTCCCCATCTTCGAACTTGAACTAAGTTTGGAAGAAATAATAAGATGTACAAAGTTTGGATGAAATCTAACTTTTCTGAAACGGATTTGGTCCAAAGAAACATGGGGTCTAGAACCAATATTTCGATGAAACACATTTTTATCGTATCAATGTGTATACACCCTCATTACCCATAAGGCTGAGGGTATACAACCATCAAAAATTGCCGAAATTTATTTGGTTTTCATACTCGGTTTGTAGAAATGCCGGTATAGGTCCACATTTTGGTATGTTCCCTATATTATCATTTCAAGTACCTGTTAGTACAGCTATGGTGAAAGGTATCCAAAGTTCGGCCCTGCCTAACTTAACGCTTTTCACTTGCTTAAAATGACATAATTAAATAATTTTAGAGACGTGGAATTTTTAACATTTTTTTCAGGGAAGTCCAAGTGGCGTGGATTTTTTAAATAATTTTTTTTTTTTGGGTTGATCCAAAAGGCCTGGATTATTTAAATATTTTCTATTACAAATATATTAAATTCTTTAATTCAAAATTTTTTTTCTCTCACAACAAAAGAGGATGATGCAGAAGCACCAGAAACATTACGCATCTCCCATTTTTATATTTTGTTGAAATAAATTGTGTGACATCATTAAGGATGAAAATAAAAGGAATATTTTCACTCCCTATTTTTCAATGTGGAACATCATCATCGTCATTATCTCAACTGTTGAGGGGGTAGCAAAATGAAAACCTAAATTTCTTTACTTTTTTTATTATTTAAAAAAGAAGTCATCACACATTTAAATGACACGGTAATGAGCGCACAATCTCACACATCATCAAGCTCACACACACAACATCCTTGTTGTGTGTGTTTTGTTAAAAACAGGAATATGAGTGTACGTATGTGTGTGTGCTTTTGTTCAAAACTCCAGGACTTGCTTTTAATTTTTTTTATCCTTTAATTTGTTAGGAAATATTTTCATTTTTTTCCATACACCAGAAAAAAATATATTCCTGTATATGGCTCCAGGATAAAGTTTGTCCTTATTTCTGATGTGGTGTCTTCCAGTTCGGATTTTGTAGTTGGGTTTATTATTTTGTTGGTATCTTTTTTTGTTGTTGGCTTTACTTAAAGGATGTTAAAGTTAGCATGCAAATGAGAGCAATGAAAAGGGATTCGTTTTTGGTTAAATTCTCAATTTCGAGAATTTAAGAATTTTTTGCATTAAAGGCTTCTTAGCCAAATAGGCCCCTTGGAAACACATTCAAATGTCGGATTCTGTTGCCATTGGTCAAATATTTGCCAACCTGTCACATAGACACGTAGACAACAATTACGTGCTATTGTCTCGCAAATGCTCTGCAAGCAGGCAGGCTGAACAACAACATACATACACAACAAAAGGATAACACCACACGAACAGGAAGTTGTGTATGTGTGTGTGTGCGGTTGCATACATTGCAAAAGCAATGTAACGCAAATATAGACACGACAAATGCATTTAGATGCAAGGAAGAAATGACAATGGGAAAACAGTAAATGGGAGGAGGTATCGATATGGGGTTGATTTTTTAACACTTTAAAAAATTTGAGGACATTGATAGGCCCTTAAAATATTACAAAAAATCGACTCCTATTGCAGACCCCTTAAAAAAATTTATTTAAAAAACCAAGCCTATTGGAGGCCCCTTAAATTATTTAAAACCAGTAAGGAAAGTAGTAAAGTCGGACTGGGCCGACTATATGATAACCTTCACCACTTTGGGCATATTCTATATATGTATTCACCATTGATTATTTGCTGTAAAATCAACATGAATATGTCGAAATTATATATGGAAGCTATGCTATATCGAAATCTTAACCGATTTCAAGGAAACTTGCCAGAGATTAATTTATCCTAATTTTAGTACGTTGTGTGAATCGACCTAGCTATGGGTCTTTAGAGCAACATTTACTAAAAATCTATATATATTATATATATAGGAGCTATATTTAAATCTGAACCAATTTCAAGAAGACTTGACACACGAAAGGTTATAGTAACTTCAGTACATTGTACAAAATTGTGTGCCAGTCGGCCAAACTTTGGGTTTTTAGTACACAATTTCATTAAATCGAACGAAAATATATATGGGAGCTATATCTAGATCTCAACCGATTTAAACGAAACTTAGTACACATCATTCTGGACTGAATTCAGTACCCTATGCCAAATTTCGTGCAAATAGAAAGATATATAGGGACTTGGAGCCCCATTTACCTAAAATCGGACGAAAAAATATATAAGATCTATATCTAAATCCGAACCGATTTTTACGAAATTAAACACACATTGCTCTAGACTTACTTCAGTACGCTGTGCCAATTTTCTTGTAAGTCGAAAGATATATAGGGACTTTGGTGCACCATTTACGTAAAATCGGACGAAAATATATATGGGAGCTATATCTAAACCTGAACCGATTTTCGTGCACACATCATTTTAGACTCAATTCAGTACGCCATGCCAAATTTCGTGCAAATCGAAAGATAACGACATCGGTGCACCATTTACCTTAAATCGGACGGAAATATATATTGCAGCTATAACTGAAGCTGAACCGATTTTTAGGAAATTTAGCACTTATCATTCTAGGCCTAATTCAGTACGCTGTGCCAAATGTCGTGCAAATCGAAAGATATGTAGGGATCTTAGTACACCATTTACCTTAAATCGGACGAAAATATATATGAGAGCCAGGGACGTAAGAAGGGGGCGGCCCGGGGGCCGGATTTAAAAAATGTATATATTTCTTGATCTTCTTGGAAAATTAATATTTTTAAATCCACGCCTTGTAGGACCTTAGAAAAAAATATTTTTTTTTAAATCCACGCCTTGTAGGACCTAAGAAAAAATATTTTTTTTAATCCACGCCTTGTAGGACCTTAGAAAAATACTAATATGGACCTTAGAATTTTTTTTTTGAAATCCACGCCTTGTAGGACCTTAGAATTTTTTTTTAAATCCACGCCTTGTTGGACCTTAGAATTTTTTTTAAATCCACGCCTTGTAGGACCTTAGAAAATTTTTTTTTTAAATCCACGCCTTGTAGGACCTTAGAAAAAATATTTTTTTAAATCCACGCCTTGTAGGACTTTAGATTTTTTTTAAATCCACGCCTTGTAGGACCTTAGAAAAAATATTTTTTTTCAATCCACGCCTTGTAGGACCTTAGAAAAAATATTTTTTTAAATCCACGCCTTGAAGGACCTTAGAAAAAATATTTTTTTTAAATCCACGCCTTGTAGGACCTTAGAAAATATATTTTTTTAAATCCACGCCTTGTAGGACCTTAGAAAAAATATTTTTTTTTTAATCCACGCCTTGTAGGACTTTAGAAAATATATTTTTTTAAATCCACGCCTTGTAGGACCTTAGAAAAAATATTTTTTTTAATCCACGCCTTGTAGGACCTTAGAAAAATATTTTTTTAAATCCACGCCTTGTAGGACCTTAGAAAATATATTTTTTTAAATCCACGCCTTGTAGGACCTTAGAAAAATATTTTTTTAAATCCACGCCTTGTAGGACTTTAGAAAATATATTTTTTTAAATCCACGCCTTGTAGGACCTTAGAAAAATACTAATATGGACCTTAGAAAAATATTTTTTTAAATCCACGCCTTGTAGGGCCTTAGAAAAATACTAATATGGACCTTAGAAAAATACTAATATGGACCTTAGAAAAAATATATTTTTTTTAATCCACGCCTTGTAGGACTTTAGAAAAAATATATTTTTTAATCCACGCCTATGATGACATATTTTTTAAATCCACGCCTATGCTGACCCCTCCTAAAAAAATATATATTTTTTTAAATCCACGCCCTGTAGGACCTATGTGATATTTTTTTATAAATCCACGTCTTCTTGATTCTTGAAAAAATATTTTTTTAAATCCACGCTTGTAGGACCTCCGACATATTTTTTTATAAATCCACGTCTTCTTGGATTTTTGAAAAGATATTTTTAATAAATCCACGCCTTGTTGTTGCTTTGAAAATTTCTTTCTATAAATCCATGCCTTGATGTTGCTTTGAAAAAAATTTTATTAAAAAAATCCTGAGTTAATTTCGATTCAATTCAAATGTCATAAAAGAGCAATTGATGACCTCCTTAGAGCCATCCTGCTTCTTCAAATACAACGACAGATAGGTTTGAAATTTCCCATTTGGCACATAATCCGGTATGCTGTCTTTGTCCACTTTCAAATTGCTAAAATAATAAGAACTCTACGAAAAAATGTATTTCAACAAATTAAAAAATGTTTGTCCCAAAAGAAGCAAATCCTCCATCTTACCCTGAAAAACGGACACTGACTCGATAGATTGCCATATTTCAAGAAATTCACAATCCACTTATTTAGCAATTGTATCTTGGGTGATTTCAGCCGCAAAAGGGTCTCACACAAATCAATGTCATAGGAAAACATCGCACGAAAATTATTGCCCGTCTTTTGCCATAGACCCACCCCTACAGTGGCCCAAACATCCGTGAGGTCTTGAACAATTTCCAAACCAATACTCATTGAGTCACGTTGTCGGCTGATATTGATTTGGAGATTTTTAATGAAATTTGCATTTATATCGCTGCGGGTTTCCAGGAAGGATACGGAGCGGGATTTCTAAAAATAGAAATATTTTAGGAAGGATATTTTTCTTTTTTGGTGGGACCTTACCTTCTTGGCCTCCAGAATAGGTGGGATTATTAGTATTAGAACAATTATTTTAAAATGCATTTTTACTTCTTCAAAAATTCCAGATATTCTAAGACTAAGTAGCCCAGAATGATTATATTTGTACTGAAATAGGTCATTCTCACAGTCAATTATAAGGTGATTAGTATTTAAACAATAAACCGAATGATGGCTCATTTTCTGGTGCAAAAAAAAAAAAAATCAGACAAACAATTACCATTACAAATAATTACAATGCATCGGTCATCTAACCAAGGTCAGCTGCGATTGGGTCATTAGCAAAATACTTTGAGAAAATAATTTTTTCCAAGCACCGACAAGGCGAAGATTAAAAAAAATATAATTTTTAAGACCACAACAAGGCGTGCATTTACAAAAAATATTTTTTATAAATCCTACAAGGCGTGGATTTATAAAAAATATTTTTTCAAAGAATCCAACAAAGCCGTTGACAAAATATTTTTTATAAATCTACGTCCTATTGTTGCTTTAAAAAATATTTATTTTAAAAACGCCCCACATTTGGCTACTTTGAAATATTGGATTCGAATTGATTGAAACATTTAAATGATTTTTCTAAATTAATATTCGCCCAAAACTAATCAGAATTAAAATTTAAATCATTAAAAATTTTTAATTACATTTAATTGCTCTATTTTAAAAGCCTCGCCTATTTACCAATCAATGGAAGATTTTCGCTTAGTTGATTTTCTTTGAACTATTCAACCAACTATACCGAAATGTGGTTTAGATCTGATAACTACACTCATTCCGCATTTGCCATTTTTACCCTGGTCATTTGCCTATCAATCACAATAGTTGTTAGCCAACAAATTGTATTCACTTCCGGTAATGCGAAATTTCATCACGCATATTTTAAAGAATTTCGCCTGTTGGCCCACAATGGATCATTGGACATTTTGATGAATATCACACACGATTTGCCACAGGATCCATGGATGAATTTTGCTGTTTCGATGGGTGGGTCGAATAAAACGGCGGGCCATCGCAAGCTGTTACAGTACAATGTAAATATGTGTAAAATATTGGATCACAACGAACGAAGTTTGGTGTCAATATGGGTGCAGAATATCTTTAAACATGGTACAATACCCTCGAAGTGTCCCATCAAGAAGGTGAGTGTGAGTTTATGTGAAAGTAGTATTGGTAATAATTAAAAATTTCCCCTTCCATAGGGTAATTATACATGGTGTGGCATGCGTCCGGAAATGTTAAATATCCCAACATTCTTTGCCAAGGGTCAATATTTTGTCAATATGGACTTGTATTTTCGCCAGAAGAGGCCGAAAATATCTTTGGCAAATCTTACCGTAATTATTGAGAAAAAGTGAGAAAGAAAATATTAAAACAATAGAAAATAAAGGATATTTAAAGAAGGTGTAACCTTTAAGGAGTTTTATTTTTAAACATCTTTATTATAACTATATTTTCTTCAGTCATCTGCTAGTCAAACCTCAATGCAAGGCATCTTCTGTCTATCAGTGTCCTATGGAAGGCTCGAGACAAGGTTCTAACATTGAACACATTTCTTCCAGGGATATATTTTAAAAGTCTTATAATGGGTGGTGGTCGTAAAAAAAAATATTCTTTAAAATATCCACGCCTTGGATGGACCTCGAAAAAATATTCTTTAAAATATCCACGCCTTGGATGGACCTCGAAAAAATATTCTTTAAAATATCCACGCCTTGGATGGACCTCGAAAAAATATTCTTTAAAATATCCACGCCTTGGATGGACCTCGAAAAAATATTCTTTAAAATATCCACGCCTTGGATGGACCTCGAAAAAATATTCTTTAAAATATCCACGCCTTGGATGGACCTCGAAAAAATATTCTTTAAAATATCCACGCCTTGGATGGACCTCGAAAAAATATTCTTTAAAATATCCACGCCTTGGATGGACCTCGAAAAAATATTCTTTAAAATATCCACGCCTTGGATGGACCTCGAAAAAATATTCTTTAAAATATCCACGCCTTGGATGGACCTCGAAAAAATATTCTTTAAAATATCCACGCCTTGGATGGCTTGGATAGATAAATCTCTTTCCATCTGTCAGCCAGGCATTAATATTTATATAGGCCTATTAGTCGGTCTGCAGAAGACTCCCTAAAACGGAGACTCATTCCATCAGTCAGCCGACAAAAGGCTTCTTCTATTTTTCCTCCTATAGACCGACTTATAGAAAAGCTCCATATATGAGTCAGGCAATAAAAGGCTCCATCTGTCCTTCTATAGTGGGTTTATAGATGGTAGCTTCTATCAGACGAAAAAGTCTATAGACAGACTATAGAAGACACCTGTAAAAGGTCGGCTCCTTCTATCAGGCTCCCTTTTTCTGTGAGCCAATAGCGGATCTCGATTACAATTTGGCTTATAGGATATCCTTCCATTAATAGGCCTATGAAAGGTTCCTTCTATGAATCGTTGTACAGAAGGAGGCCGCATATATAAAAATCCGTTTATCAATCGTCTATAGAATATTCCGCCCAGCAGTCATTTATGGAAGGCTCCTTCTGATAGTTTGATTAAAGAGGGCTTAGTTTGTCGGTCGCCTAAAGAAGGCTCTTTCTCTTTGCCATCTTAGGGAACCTATCAGTAGCCCTTTAGAAGGCTCTTCAATCGGCTTAAAGAAGGATAATTCTGTTTCATCTACGAACCAGCCTGTATAAGGCTCCTTACATCAGTCGGCATACAAATTTATTCTTCTATTATGTGGCCTATAGAAATCTCCTTTTATCAACCGGTTTATAGAAGGCTTCTTCGATTATTTTGCCTATAAAAGGCACCTGCTATCACGTCTTTAAAGTATCGTAAAACTATCCATTCTAAATCGATTTGATAACAGAAATCCGGTAATAGGGTGTAAGATGTTGTATTACCGATACCCATTTGAGTATTTACCCAATTTACCGGGTATTTACCCAATTTACCGGGTATTTACCTTTGGGTATTAACCCACTGCCCATCTCTACATATTCAGTTAGTCGACCCATAGGAGGCTCCATTTATCAGTGGCGCATAGACGTTGTGTTGTATCGGTCTATCTACAGAGGCTTCTTCTATCTGCTATCCTATGGGAGGCACCTTCTCTAAGTCGACCGATAACTATCCCCATATATATGTCGGCCTATCGTCGTTTTGTAAAAGGTCCCTTAAGTCAGTCGTCTTAAAGAAGGCCCATTCAGTCAGTCGGCATATATAAGGCAGTCGAACTTATTAGTCGGCCTATAAAAGGCTGCATCTATCAATTTGCTATAGAAACCACCTTTCATTCTTCGACCTATCGAAGGCTCGTTTAAGGAAGGCTCAGAGAATTCGGTAAAAATTCGGTAACTCATATCTGTTGACTTATAGAAAATTATATTTTTATTGTATTTTATATTTTAACTAGCAAAGTACCCGCTACTTCGTATGCGGAAATGGAATAAAAAAATGTTTCATATGGAAATCGTGAATACTGTATAATTAATTGTACTATAGTTCTGAATTCCACCTCTATTCCTACATTTAATATCAAGTTTATTACCATTAAGTACTCTTCATACACATAAGCACTATTTTCCGAAATTCACACTTTAGCATGTACAGGTTTCACATGTAATTCCATTTAGAACTTTTCGAACACATAAGTATACATTTTCAAGACTACCTCTATACCGTCACCTTCACTAAATTTAGTACCAAAAACGCTTTTGTCCTTCTGTCAAACTCTCTGTCAATGACCAACATTCTAAATTTTAGGTTTCCAGCTCTCTCCGTTACCCAAATTCAAATTATTCCAAATTTAGTGAATTTTCTATTCTATTTACTATTGGTACACATAAATACGAGTTTCCAAAGTTGTCTCCAAAGCTCAATACTACACTTCAACAGTAATCTAAGTTCCAAATCTCAAGGTTCAACCAAATCCAAATTGTTTCAAATTTAGTACCATTTAGTAATTCTCATACTCATAGGTAAGAATGTCTAAAACTACATCAATCCTATACTCTAAAAGTATTTTTACTTCCACCAAAGTCCAAACTGTTCCAAATTTATTGACTTTAGTGTTTTTCTTTCAAATAGTCCAAATTTAAGAATTCCAGCTCTGTGTGAAACCATTCCGCACTTTTCGTACCCATATACCAAACCAATCTCAATATTCCAAACCTGCTTTTAATCGTAAGTCCAAATTTAAGAATTTCAGCTCTATCTGTTCACTAAACTGTACCATATTTGGTACCATTCAGTACTTTTCCTACACTCCCAGAGTAACTTAAGTTGCAACTTTCAGGATTCGAGTTCTACCCGTTCACCAAAGTCCAAATTGTACCAAATTTTTTCCAATACTTCCTTAATCTTGTAATTTTAATTCCAAATTTACGTTTACTATCTCTATCCGTTAACTCGAATCAAAATTGTACCAAATTTTTTTGCCATTTAGTGCACATAATGACGAAAAATTTCCAACATATCTCAATTCTGCACTCAAACAGTAATATAAATTCAAAATTTCAGAATGCAGCCCTATCCGTTCACACATTTGTAAGCTTTTCGGTGCCATTTAATACTTTATGTTTCTATAATTAAAAATTTCCCAAACCCTACACTCCAACAATAATTTTAATTAAAAAAGTTGGGAGTCCAGCTCTATCCGTTCACAAGTAATTAAATTGTACCAAATATAGTACTATTTAGTACACATAGGTAATATGCTTCCATATCTAAATTCTATATTCAAACATCAACCATTAGTCCAAATTATGGAGCTCTCTCCGTTCATCCAAATCCATCTTGTGCCGTTTAGTACTTTTAGTACACATAAATACGAGTTTCCAAAGATGTCTCTCTTCAACAGAAATCTTAATTCCAAATTTCAGGTTTTCAGTTCTATCCTTTCAAGCAAAATCCAAATTGTTCTAAATTTGTACCTTTCGTACCAACAACTACGAATTTCATAATCTACCTCAGTCCTACACTCCAACAGTCATTTTAATTCCCAATTTGAAGACTTCAGCTCTATCTGTTCACCTAAATCTAACTTCCACCAAATTTAGTACCATTTAGTACTTTTCGTACAAATAAGTACAATTTTTTACAGCTAATCCCGATTATCAAGATTCCATCACACTCATACACACTCAACTGAATGTAAATAGTACGAAATGTAGTACCATTTAGACTTTTTATACACATAAGTACGAATGTCATAAACCATTTCTGTACATAAACACCACTTCTCAACCTGTATTCCATTTAAAATGTCAAGATTCCAGCTATATATGTTCATTATATATACAATAGGAACTAAATTCAGTAAAGTTTAGTACACTTATAGGTCGAATTTCCAAAAACCCTTTTGCACATCTTTCTAACTTTCCATCAGTGACCAACATTCCAAATTTCAGAATTCCAGCTATTCCCGTTCGCTAATAAATAGGGTACCATATTTGGTACATGTTAGTACTTTTCGTACCCTTCTACTTCCAACAAAACTTCCTGCATATCCCGATCCTACACTCCCATAATGATTCCAAATTCAAATTTAAATGTACCAAATTTAGTACACAGTAGTACGAATTTCCAATACTTCTTACTAAACCCACACCCCCACAGTTATCCTAAATCCACGTTTCAGAATTCCAGCTCTATCGGTTCATCCACAATTCAATTTGTACCAAATTTAGTACACTGTAGTACGAATTTCCAAAACTTCCTACTTAACCAAAACCTACACTCCACAGTGATCCTAATTCCAAGTTTCAGAATTCCAACGCTATCGGTTTACTCACAATTCAAATTGTACCAAATTTAGTACACAGTAGTATGAATTTTCAAAATCTCTTACATACCCTAACCCTACAACCCCACAGTGACCCCAAATCCAAGTTTCAGGATTACAACTCTATCTGTTCACTCACAATTCAAATTGTACCAAATTTAGTACACAGTAGTACGAATTTCCAAAACCTCCTACTTACCCCAAACCTACAACCCCACAGTGATCCTAAATCCAAGTATAAGGATTCCAATACTATCGGTTCGCCCACAATTCAAATTGTACCACATTTAGTACACAGTAGTACCAATTTCCAAAACATCCCACCGAACCCAATCCTACAACACCACAGTGATCCTAACTCCAAGTTTCAGGATTCCAGCTCTATCGGTTCACCCACAATTCAAATTGTACCAAATTTAGTACATAGTAGAACCAATTTCCAAAACTTCCTACATACCCCAATCCTACACCCCCACAGTGATCCTAAATCCAAGTTTCAGGATTCCAACTCTATCGGTTCCCCTACAGTTCAAATTGTACGATATTTGGTACACAGTAGTAC